ACATATATTTCTGTTTCCATGATCATCATTGTCATTTGAAAATCTCATAGTACATATTAGAATTAATTTGAATGATAATAATGGAACAGAATGGAAAATGAATCTTAGACATTTCAATTACCTTTTATTATTATAACGGTTGGCGGTCGTTTGTGTGCTTCTGTTTTCATAATTTTTGGTTCGCTGGTCTCAACTTCTTGTAGTTCTTCATTAGAGGGCGGTTGGGATTCGGTGGTTGGTGTTTCTTCGGTGGCTTCAGCATCATTGAAAATTCTCGATTCAGCAGTCGTGGTTGATTCAAGATTTCCTTGATTTTCTCGTACGGCTACAGGTAAGACAAGTAATTGTCCAAATGGACGCCAGCCTTGCGGTGGATATGCCTGTGGTGGTTGTGGAATCAATATAGGACCAGGTGCACTTTTCGTTAGTTCGGTAGTTGCTTCTGCACTGTCATTTTGAGACTCTTCGTTTGGAATTTTTCCCAATTCAGTTTGAAACGGAACTTCACCATCGGTTTGACGAGCCGATGCACGAACCAGTTGAACTTGGCGATATCTCACAGGTTCTGCCAGTGCATTACACAAAACGGCACTCAAAAATAAGATGATTATTGTTTTCATTTTTACTTGTGGTCAATTTGGTTGACTGGTTGAAATAAAACTGATATCGACAGTTGGTGTTTCGTTGCTTTTATAGCATTTTTTTCTCAGTCAATGGTTTTGCCATTAATATTCCGGTAATGCATTTTCATGTCATTCAATTACTTCTATAGAACGAACATTTATGTAAACTATCACCGAGGTTATCGATCAACATTGGCCGAATTTAATTAAGAATATTATTACACATATTTAATTCATAAAAAAACAACAAAATATACATTGTGTCACGTGAATTAAACCATTCGATCGATATTTATGCTTCCAAATTTTACACTTGAACATTTTAAATGTATATAATAAAGTTGTTACCTTAAAAGATGTGTAAAAAACGCACTGTTTTTGAACACGATTAGGGAAGTTCAAGAGTAAACTATTTGAATACAATTAAAAACTATTTTTGAATAATTTATGACCAAGTCACGTCTCGATGTACTTGATAGATTTGTTAGCACAAATTTAGATAAGGAAAAATTCAAAATTCACAATTCTTATTGATACATATAAAGGAAAAACACATAGATATTTCGCCAGCTGGGGTTGGGATATTAATTGATACAAAATATTAAAAAAAAAGAATATTCAATATTGAGATTATTACAACATTGAAAGTTGTGCTTCTTTCGCGGATAAATGGAAACGCTTCTTGCATATAAATAAGCAATGATAATCGGAAACAACAAAAAAAAACCATAGTGAGACAAGTAACAGTCATGAAATGAAGCAATCGTCTTTTGTTGAGTGCTCACAAATACGCTAAAAGCAATACTAATAAGTAAATATTTTTCTGATTTCAGTTTTAAAATTTATAAACAAAGCGTTTTAAATTCGATCCAATATTTATTTGGGATAATTTTCTTCAAAATAATTATGTTTTAAAACTGAGTCCAGCTTATAATTGACTAGTTTGTAGCTCAATTTCATTGAGTTAGTCTTGGAATTTTTATTCCATTCAAAAAGACATATTTCTACAAATTTTTAAAATACTCATAACTTCTTTGCATTAGAATATTTGATTAAAATACTAGTTTTTATTGGTAATTTCTCCATATTTGTAACATCACAATAATGTATCACCAAAAATGAAAAAAATATAAACACAATTCAATTTAAATTGGCTTTTATGAATAAATGTCAATTATGAGAATTCAAATATTTTCCTCAACAATTGAAATGATGAAATTATATGTTAAATTATTAAACTTTTGTTCTTATATGGAAAAACGCAGCCCCCCTGACAATTCAATGGTAGTTCCATTAATGTATGGATTTTGGACAATTGATTGTACAAGATGAGCAAATTTGTCTGCATCACCGAATCTAAACGGACCAGTAATACAATCCTCGCTTATTGATTCCTCAAGTTCTTTTGGGAAATAGTTAATTATTGGGGGTTTTATGAAACCTGGTGATCACTTGCTAAAGACTGTGTCATAGTGTGAATAGCTCCAGAGACGGCTGCAATTGATGTTTGGCCCATTGTTCCGGGAATGCTTCCATACCTTAACTATTCTATTGACGATGACACCGCGGAAACCGCTTTAATCTGGCTTATTATTTGCAAACAATTTAGCAGTTAGGCGAATCACGCTGAAAATTCCCCCCACAGAAAAAAATTCCTACAGAAAAAAATCGAAATAATAAATGAAATGAATCTCTCGGAAATTGAATTTCACTATTTAACGTACCATTAATACATTTTCAAAGACTTTCAATAGTTTTGCTCGGTCGAGGTCAATATTATATGTAATATGGGCATCACTCAGACCAGCACAATTCACCAGTACATTAAGTTTGTCATATTTTTTAAGATATTTTAGGTTAGTTTCGGCATCTTACATCTGTCAGTACATTGTTTGTAGCTCAATCTTACTAAGGAAATGTTCAAATGTCACAAGAAACTTCATTTGACAAAAATGTTGTCAAAGCAATTTTTTTAAAATATTGGAAAGTTTACTAAAATGAACATAAATAAATACATAATACAGAAACCATTTTTGGTTGTTGGATTTCACACTTAATTTTATTTATGTCATTTAATACAAAAAAGTACATTTGAGTTTGACTTTTGTTCTTTATGCTTATATGAAAAAAGAAAAATTGATTTTAATGTTTATTAAATTATGCAATTAAATAAATCCAACTATAAATCCTTTACTTAAAATAAATAAAGAAATCTATTCCATATAGTCAAACCTCCGTAACCGCATTCAGTGTGTATATTTAATGCGTAAAAATGATTTCAATTTAAGCATATTATATAGTATAAATGAATGATAATAACTTGAATTCGTTATCTCAATTCAGTATTTTATTCAAAAATGCGATCCTTGAGAATAATTGGAGCCAAAAGTGACCAACCGTAGAGGGCAGCGCAAAGCCAGCTAGAGATAATTTTGATCCACATTGAGGCGGCATTCGTGTTTAATGTTTCGAGCGTGGAATTTGGCCTGAGAATAAAAAGAAACCCAGTCAATCCATTTAATTATTAATATTTTTATTGATTAACGCTGATTTATACTCACTGATACCAGTTAGTCAGAGTCATCATGATATACAGCGTGGCCGCAACGAAAACACCATGGAATAATGACCACGAATAAGCCACACCATTCTCTTCATTGTCGTAGACTTTTGCATCATTATCACCTGAATCGATCGGTTTGTGAGACTCTCCACTTTCTTTGGCTGTTAATACTGGTTAATTTAATCAATTTGGAAATGGCAAAAACGAATGTTTTGTGTGTGTTTGGTTTTAATTCGCGTATTTAAACAACAAAATATATGGAGAGAAAGAGAAAGGGAGACAAATGTTGAAAGTTAAATAAAGAAGAGATTTTTTTCGTTCAACGACACTGTATTTGGTTATCGGTTTATGATATTCAATTAGTACGTGTTACATAAACTACACCAAGAATGAAATGAATGATTGAAGCCAAGAAAAAAAGGAAATCAATGAAATGGCATTTACTCGATTGATAAACAAAATTTTAATGATGATTTTCCTCTCCATGTATTTTAATGAAAAACGCAATAATGATGAAAAAATATATATACTATATATACCTTGCTTTTCAACATCGGGTACGGTTATTTCTGATACCTAGGGATAATCATAAAAAGAATGAAAAAAAAATGGAAATTATTAATAAATATGTTATGGAACAGAATGGAAAATGAAATTATAAAAGAAAGTATATAGTTTAATTGAGATCATAGTGTTGAGATCGTTGATTACCCAATCATCTCTCACTCACTCAGTCACACATTCATTTGGCCAGACACACACTCTCTCTATTTCACATATATTTCTGTTTCCATGATCATTAGGGTGGATGAATTTTTCTCGATTCGGCTCTACAGCCCAGAGTAGTTGTATAAGCATGAGCTGATTCCAAAACAGCCATTTTTTGATGGGTTTATATGTCATGTAGGGTGGCGACTTGAACGAGAGGGTGGCGACAACTTTTTCAAAAAAATCGAAAAAAATGTGATTTTTAGTAATAACAATTTTGGTTTATTTTTCACATTTCTACGCTTAAATTCATCTTATTTCATCGATTAAGACCATTTTAGTCTTTATAATATAAACTATCAAATAGCCAAATTATAAAAATTTACTAATCCAGGTAAAATCTTCAAAAATCTGTAAAAACCAGAAAATTTAAAGAATTTCGATAGTCAACTAATTCGAATTTTTAGTAACGACCATAGCAATGGCTATCATAGCTTGATAGGACTATGTCCAAAGATTACTGAGCCATGCTGATAACTGACAATGAGCTGGGATCTGTACGTCTAAGTTTTTTTTATTTAAGAACTGGTATTTTCCGGTTGAAATAAAATTGTCAATATTGAGTCAAAATTGAAAACTTTGTTCGAGAGACATTCTCTATTTTCATTGGAATGACTCAAAATCTACCTAGATCATTTGGAGAAATTCCTAAAGATTTGCAACGTTTTGTGATGAGTTGAATTCTAAAAGAGTGTTTTCCGTTAGTGTTTCAATGTGGCCTTTTGGATTTTTTATCCTTGTACTGAAACAAACATAGGGCTTTATTGTAATTACGGAGTTGAACTGTATGACGTTAGATTTATCTACATTGATTTCTTTTAACGATAGAAGGGTAAATTTGGCAATAAAATCACCATTCAAAAAATATCGGATGCTATATAAGAAGAAAAATGAAGAAAGTGGTCTTTTTTTAGTCGAAGTTTTGAATATACACCACCATAATTTTTATACCACGAGATTGTTTCAAGTGTTTATTATGGCATTGGATCGCTATGGACTTCAGCATTACAGTTTAGGAATTGAAAATATTATCGGTAATGTGACCTCAGTGTTGATTTATCTCATACTGTCTTTGGTCAATATTGACCATCTTCTTTCAACCGGTATTTAAAAAAACTCCGTTGTGCTGGGATCCAACTGAGCATGATTTTAGTAACCCGTATTAGAAGGATTCACGATTCATGTACACTCGGCACATCTTCGCTGCTTAGGCGAATATCAGCAGTAGAATTCACTGCAACATGGTCAAAAAACATCAAGTAGCCATGTACATATGTACATTTTTCATTCTCTTTTGTGCGAACTTTCTTTGGTGCATTAGATACACGACAATTCGCAGTGAACTCAAAGTCTGATATTCCGTAAAGCAGCGATGATGTGCCGAGTGTACACGAATCGTCATTACTAAAAATTCAAATTGTTTGACTAGTGAAAGTAATTAATTTTGCTGGTTTTTAACGATTTTTAAAAGTTGTTACCTGGATTAGTAAATCTGTATAATTTGGCCATTTGATGGTTTATAAAGACTAAAATGGTCTTAATCGATGAAATAAGATCAATTTGAGCGTAGAAATGTGGAAAATAAACCAATTTTGGTTATTACTAAAAATCACATTTTTTTCGATTTTTATGAAATAGTTGTCTTGACTCTCGATCAAGTCGCCACCCTATATGACATATAACTCCATCAAAAAATGGCTGTTTTGGAATCAGCTAATGCTTATACAACTACTCTGGGCTGTAGGCTTTGATACTTAAATTTTTTCGAAAAAGTCATCCACCCTAATGATCATCGTCATTTGAAAATCTTATAGTACATATTAGAATTATTTTGAATGATGAAATATGTTACAGAATGGATAAGGAATTGTAGAGTAATAGAATAGTATTTTTTAAGTAAGCTTTTATTTCTGATACCTTTGAAGCCGATTTCAATGAGCTGTACAACAAACATACCATCCAAATAATCAAACCAACAATGCTTGTTTTGTCAAACGTAATCTGAAAGAGTGAAACAAATGAGAAAGATTTGATTTTGAAAAAAATATTTTTAGATCTTACTTTTCAATCGCATTGAAAACAAATACTTTAAATATTATAATCGAATATAATTAGTAGTTTTACCTTACTATTGCCACCTGATGGAAATATTTGGGAGTGACACTTTTCGTTTGGGTTGTTGGCAAGTGCAGACCATGTCAAATAAACAACATACAATGTTACCTAAGGAGAGAATCACAAAAGGAAATAGATTGAATTAATTTAAAATAATCGTAAAACAATCAATATTACAATTCAATACAATTAATAAAATAATGTTACCACTGAACTCTGTAGTAAGCCAGAACGACTGATTCGCTCCTGTACTTGTGGCATGATTGAAAGAACGCTTACGCAGAGGCACAAAATCAAATTAAAAGTGATAAAGAAACGATTTAAACCACAATCATAGTACGTGTACAATAGAACGATGCCAGTAATAGCCAAAAGATATTGAATAGCAGTTGCAGACAACAATGCACAATACCATCCACGTGATTCATTTTCTTCGTAATTTGCTGTATATACAGTGTAAAATAGATTAGTATTTAAATGTTTACATAACTTATGATTTTACTCACCAACCCAAGTCTCAGCCCAAGAATGAGCAAAGTCGACTAATAAAACGAGTTGTACCTGTAAAACATGATTATATCAATTAAAAAAGCGCCAAAACAATCATACCTGACTAATTATAATTAACAAACGGTTGTTCTAGCTAAGTAAACTAAGCAGTTGAGTAACTGAATATACATACCAAAATAAAAATAACACCACCAATCAAGCCAACCTATGAATCAGAGAAGAAAATAGAATTGATTGAAATTAATAAACATGTAATGGAACGTATAGGAATGTAGTGGAAAAATTATCGAAAGAATGTATTGCATTTCTTCATAAAATGAATAGTAATTTTTACCAACCCACATCCAAGCTGTGCCAAATTCTCCATTTGGAATGAAAAATGCACCAACCGCAATTGCAATCACAATCTAAAATTTAAAATAAATCATTATTTTTTAAAAAGCTAAAAAAGTTCTTCCATTTTCTGAGAGAGGATTCTTTCAAAATCGCAGAGAGGATAATTTTCAGTGAGGCTCAATTATAATTGCTTTTATAAAAGCATCAAAATTTCATCTTTAATAAATTCAATCTTACGAGATATTTAATGCCCCAAAAACCATTCTGGATTCCTGCACGTGCATCCCGACTTGATTTTGCGCCGACCATAATCATAGCCATCAACGCAAAGAAACATGTTAACGCAAAACATATACGATATACTGCCAAATATCCAATCGCCACAGAACAGTCAGCCGTTATTTGATTTGGTAAAAAGTACGCTGAATTTGCCGTGGAATTTTTACAAAATGGCACACTTTTCAGCCAATCTTGCATCCCCGGAGCAAGCGCAATTCCAGAAATAATAGCTCCAACAAGCAACATAATCGCATACATTAATCGCGTTGAAGTACTATTACGACAAGAAGGACATGCCGCACAGCATAACGAACATGCAGTACCCGTACAACAGCAAGCCAGCTGAAAATAAAATACAATCGAAATAATAAATGTAATTACGACATTATATAGCAGCGCAATGAATCATCTAATGATATGTATACACATGTATGTGTATTATCGATTTTTCAACGCTCTTTGTAACCGTGGGGAAATTTACTAATTTAATTTCTATCAATTGAATTTAAAATAGACAGGAATATGTGAATAAATTTACAGATAAAAGTTGATAAATGTTCAAAACATATCAACATTTAATGCGTAATACCCAGAAATCTGAGAAAAATTATATCTAGTCGATTATTTTTCTCTCAATAAGTCTTTGTCATAATGTGTAAAATACCTGTGCAACTGATGCAATGCCTAAAACGGCTCCCATCCTCAGTTAATTGAATATCGAAATGTATTTGTTTTATTTTTTTTTTCTGCCAGTAGATATCGTCTTGATAGCGCGATAAGTATGATGTGAATACTAAAAATATCGTTGAGAAAAATACAAATTGTTCTATCGTATGAGCAAAAAAATGGACGTAGTTCACGCTGGAGTTTATACGACTGACATTGATGTTGTTTTTATTTTGTCTCAATGTTTTTCTCTTTCTTAATTTATCGTTCCAACTTCCATGCAGTTTCGTTTTTCCAAAGATGGCGCTGATGAAAGAAAATGTTGTGCTAGAAAAAAACTTGGATGTTTTGTATATTGTTTATTCCGTTGTTGTTTTATAATTTTTCTTATTATTAATCTATCTATTATTTTTCTAGACAGGAAAACTTATTTAAAATTGGTGAAACTAATCGATTATTAATCAAAATTCTCTCCGTACGTATTCATATAAGAATTGCTATAATTTCCAGATATCTATATGTATATGTGTCACACACTTCACATTGATTAACAAGTTCATACGAGAGCTGTCTCGCAATTTCAATCTTATCGCCCGAAAAAATTTCAGTTTTAATTTTTGCTTTGCCACTCATACAGGAATTCAGTATATCATATCAATTCACGATTATTTCATTCGATTGCCTGTTTTTTGTTATTAATAAGTTTGTCTATTGCTTGTGAATTGAAATCAAGTGAACGCACCATTTATTTCAATATCTAGAAAAATTCTCTTTTTGCATTTATCCCTTTTAGTCGAGGAAAAGAATTTATTATTGTTATCGACAGTATAGTTTGTGAATTTGAATTAACTTATAAAAGAAAATGGCCAGTATTTTTGGAAACGTTGAAGTTGGACCCAAAATCGAGGTTTTTGCACTAACAAAATCCTTTACAGAGGATACAAGCTCATGTAAAGTAAATCTGAGTGTTGGAGGTAAGTCGTGTACGCCAATTTATACACACATGTGTGTATTCTTCGTCCCTTGTATATAATCAAGGAACTTTCTAAAAATGTGAATTAAAGTCCTACCGAATTAGATTAAATTATAAATAAACTGATTTCAAATCAAAGGTCATAGTCAAGGTCACTTATCACGTACATTTATACTCATTCATCTAAGATGATAAATATGATCTTTGTTTCGTTTCTATTACGTAACCAGATTTTTCATCTCATTAGATAGGTTTTCACTGGTTTAACTTGGTTTCGTACTTGCCAACATATTTTAGGTTTTGCACATGTGGTTTAAATATAAATGTCCAATTTCTGGAAAATGTCACTGGAATCATATTAAATAATATGTACGAAACGATAACCAACAATTTGAGAAGTACACTCGGAATATGTTTGTCATATATTTGTGTACATGGGAATAAAAGTGGCAATACAAAAACGGAATCTGAAGAACGTTACATAATTTTTTTTTACATAGTACAACTCTATACAAAAAAAATGTATGTAACGTTCTTCAGATTCCGTTTTTGAATTGCCATATTTATTCTTACGGACACATTTATTTGTATATTTTTATTGAGATCAATTGACGTTAATTATTGAAAGCAAACATTCTTCGTTCGGCACTATACAAATAATCATAGTATATGTACATAAAGCTGATTACAATTGTTATCAAGTGGATTTCATCCAATGTATGAACTATGAGTATTTTGTAAATTGTGTTGATTTGTTGAGTAGTTAAAATTTAATTATCGGCTTCGAATAAAAAATGAGCTGATAAATGAATCTCTTGGTGTCTTTTCAACAAGCGATAACTTTGTCAGACTGAAATAGACTCACTAATATAATAGAAAGCGCTCATTTGCTCATTTTTAGACCATCACGAACAATTTAATCAAATTCATATCTTCTTTCAAAATATTCAAATCAAAAATACATCCACAGAATCCACAAATTATATTATTTTACTTTTCCGCACTTCTTGTGTGAAAAAGGTATTTTTTGAGCACGTTTTGTCTCGTTCTCATTTTTTAAATTTTCCATGCACACGTAGTGTGAAGGGAAAAGTATCGTAATGGGGCTTAAAAATAAAAATTCTTAAAATGATGATGATCTTTTCTGGGTTTAGGATGAAAAATTAATCGATTTGAGACCAGGGTCTATTCCACGTTGTACGTGACCGTTTTTGTTGTCAATATACGTACTTTTGTCTAGTTGTGACAGATCGAAATAAATGTTCAGTACTGCATCTTATTTTTTAATATAGCTTGGTATTTTTTTTGCACTAGATCTTATTACTGACATTGAAATTATTTAGTACTTTCCCTATTGCCATTAAACATGATTGCTCTGATTGCACGCAGTTATTTTGGTCGGCCATAGCGGTCCGTAATGGTTACATATAAGAGAATTGAACTTAAATCTCTTCAATATTTAAAGAAATAAACAAAGGGTGGGAAACTTCGTCTTACAGAGTAAGACTTTTTATTTAAACTCAAACATGACAACACACTCAAATGTTGATTTTCATGTTAATTTTTTTTTATTTGTGTTTATTTTTTTTAGCATATAGAACGCCAGATGGACGGCCTTGGGTTCTACCTGTTGTTAAGAAGACAGAAATCCAAGTGGCTGAATGTGAAAATATAAATCACGAATATTTGCCGGTTACGGGTTTGGAGAGTTTTACAAAAGCCTCAGTTTCTTTATTGCTTGGAGAAGATTCGCCAGCTATTAAAGAGAATCGTGCTGTTGGAGTTCAAGCTTTATCTGGCACAGGTAATAATTCAAATGGGACAGGTGACGGTTGAAATACGAACGAATAGAATTTGCTTCGTTGAACGTTCTTTATTAATTTTACATCGTTTCATATTATATCAACAGGGGCATTAAGAATCGGCGCCGAATTTTTATTTAGCAAATTGGGCCGCAGAGTTGTCTACTACTCAAATCCAACTTGGGGTAAGGTTACGATACTCTGAATTTGGAAGAGAAAAAAATATAAAATGAAATCTTCAATCTGTGATTTCGGTAGAAAACCATCATAAAGTGTTTGCTGGTGCTGGTTTTACTGATATTCGACAATATAAATATTGGAATGCACAAACGCGTGGAATTGATATGGATGGTCTGCTTGACGATTTGAAAAACGCTCCCGAAGGTGCTGTTATTATTTTACATGCTTGTGCACATAATCCAACCGGCTGTGATCCTACAAAAGAACAATGGACACAAATTGCTGATGTTATGGAGGTATTTATTTCAATTTTATTGCCATTTGTTGTACACTTGAATAAAGAAAAACAAATATTAATTCAATTTCTCTTGTAGAGTAAAAAACTGTTCCCGTTTTTCGATTCTGCATACCAGGGTAAACAAAAAATTAATAAAGGTTAAAGGAAATTAGGATATTTATTATTTTTTATTATTTTTATGGCATACCAAGGCTTTGCAAGTGGTGATCCAGTACGCGATGCATTTGCTGTTCGGTATTTTGTATCTCGCGGTTTTGAATTGTTTTGTGCACAGTCTTATGCCAAAAATTTCGGTTTATATTGTGAGCGAGTTGGTAATTTAACCGTGGTGCAAAAAAATTCTTCAACCACTGCAGCTGTACTCTCCCAATTAACGCTGATAGTTCGTGCTATGTACAGTAATCCACCAGCATTCGGTGCCCGTATTGTTGAATCAATTTTGAACAGTCCAGTGTTGCGTAAGGAATGGTATGAATGCATCAAAATTATGTCATCGAGAATTTTGAAAATGCGTAAAGCATTGTACGAAGAATTGACGCGCTTAGGTACGCCGGGTGGTTGGAACCACATCACAGACCAAATTGGAATGTTTTCGTACACAGGATTGAATGGTGAGAGGAATGAATATACATTTAAATGGAATGATTCTGAACAATGAATTGTATTTTTATTTTCAGAAAAACAATGTCAGCTCTTAATTGATGAATTCCATATTTATTTACTGAAAACAGGGCGTATTAGTATGAGCGGCTTGAATGAAAACAACGTTGTTCATGTCGCGAAAGCAATTCATACTGCTGTTACAACAATTCAAAACTAAAATCTACTTCTTATAATAGTACAACAGACAACACACATTTGGTGATTATAAAGAAAAAATCGAAATATCAAACTTCATTTTGTGCAATGTTGCATTGCATATAACATTGGATGCATCGGTTTTCTTCTACTTCTTTTATTCTGTTTTTCAGTGGTCAATCAATTTAAAATGATTGAATCGCATTGATAAAAGACGAAAGTATTTCATTTTAACAAATTTCCACTTAACTTCAATATTTTAAAAAAATAAATTCTCGTTTCGTTCAGTCGATTATTTCAAAAGCATAAAAAACAAAAAAAAATTTAATCTTAGAAAAATCATGAGCATATAATGTTGTAAATACTAAAAAAAATCTAAATTGAGAAAATTCATAATTTTTTGTCATTGACAAAACTAAAAAATACGCATTTAAATTGTTTTTTCTTTTATCACAAAAAATTATATCGAATCCCACACAATACATATTTTTTTAGCAGTGACGCGTTGGTGATTATTGAATGAAAATTGAATACAACGAAGTGAAAAAAATGCAAAGCAATCAACTTTTACCTTATTAAAGTAACAATTACCAAATTGGTTTTTAAGTGAAACAAAACAGGACTCAGACAATATAATAAATACATCAATATTATGAAATCATTTTGATCAAAATTGTAAATGGAAAATATATATTGTAATTAAATCTTTAAACATTGTTTATTTTTACGACTCAGAGATGCGTTGGCTATCAATTTATACAAATCCATTGTCTATCAGTCACGTGATCGATCAATCAATGTAAAATTGTTCATATTCAGTTTGAAACATTCATATATCTGGCGGTTCAACAAGTCTTTAGCCTGACAAAAAAGTGTATCGACAATGTGAAATATTTCGAAATCAATGTTGCACCTATGCATAACCTATGCCAAATTGTCCCAGAAACCACATGCAGGTATGTTTTGCAAGAACCCAGCCCAAAAATTCCAAAAAATGACGATTTTCAAGGTTATTGTGTTTGAACAATATATAGTCAATATTTATAAACTTAAATCATCAGAACAGAACCTCAAAAACGTACTGCAAAAGAAAATTTTATGTCAAGTAATAAAATGGTACGAAATTTCATCGAAAAATCAAATGAATAATGATTGTCTCAAAATAGTGTTGCGCAAAGTTTCCACTTGCTAACAACGGTAACACAGCGGCAGTGCATGTCCAAAATTCATTTTATATACCCAATAGTGCATCGGAACCTCATCGGAATATACTAAAATAGCATATATTTACCCATTTTGGAAGGATATTTTGGCGTGAAAAACTATTTTGCTCTAACGAATTGGACAGCAGAATAATTTTAAAAACATTTGGTGGAGTAAAACAACTTTTTGTAATGAATTTTTCAAATTTTACGGAAAATTCAATTTTGTTACATTCAATATGTTTTGGTCATCGAAATTTTCACTTCTTTTCAATTAAGACATTTGTATACGTACTGTTCATAAGGAATATAACCTCTTGGGATGATAATGAGATTTAAGTGACACAATTATAACTTTTACGGCGAATATTGTAAGCGCTTTCAAGGTTTAGAGGCCTTGCATTCATTGATATGTTCTATGCGATTCGTTGTACTGCACTATCATCAAAGATTACATGTACATCTTACCGCAATGTCACAAATTGAGTAAAATTCATGAAAAGCGCCGATGCGGTAGAATTTTGACCATTTTATTCAATAAAGGACTGAAAATATGTAAATGTTCAGTATTTTTCTATGAAGTCTCTATTTGGTATCAACATGGGTACTAAACAGTAGCTTGTAGGAATTTTAACTTGATAAGAGAAACGTTTTTAGAGTCAGTATTTTTAGAAGTAATATTTTTAAACTGGAAAATGTGATATTTGTTGAACGGTGAAACTGTACTTTGTATAAAAATTATATTGAAAAATTAGAGATTAAAACAATGAACACAATCGATGTCTGCTACTCCGAAGTCGAAAAGGCTGGTGGCTGGATATTCGATCGGGTAGTGTTTCATTGTGAACGATATTCTACAAGAGGTTGTGATAATTTCAGTCTGTGATCAGACGGTGAATAAATAAATAAATAAATAAACATGAATGTATGACTTGCGATACTTCGTACACATTAATTTCAGACTTGATCATGTAACCTTTAATTTTCATAATTATTTGTTTAGAAATAAATCATTTGAAAATCTGAATTTTTCAGAATTTTCAATGAAATGATGCTCCATGGTAAAGGTACCAATTTTTGAGTTTGAATGAAATTTTCCTTTGCAATGTGTTGTTTGAGTTCTGTTCTGATGATTTAAGCATACAAACAATCGATCTTGGGAGTATAGTCAAGTTTTTTCTCAAACACAAAAGTTCAAAAAATCGACCATTTTTAGAACTTTTGGGAATTTTTAGATATCATGCGCGCAGTGTTTGGTTAAGATATCTGAAATGTATCTAGATACTTTTGAGACAGTATCTAAATTTTCCCAAATTCATGTAGATATTTTTAAGATTTTCATCTTATCTTTTTGATAAAAGATTGAAGTTGTCGGGTGTTTTTTGCGAATCGGACTTTTAATAAAAAAGCTATAATTTTGACGAATCTGGACATGAAATTGATCATTTTCGCTTCGATGAACAAATTCATCATACGTCAATTGATGATTTTTTAAAATAAATGACCAAAATATCTTATTATTTATCTTAAAAAATAAAGATAAGGTACTAAAAAAAGCCAAAAGATAAGATGATTTTTGTTTCTAAAATCATCTAACTAGATAAGATAAAAGATAGTATCTATCTTATCTTAATATCTCAAACGAGATAAAATATCTTAACCAAACACTGCATGCGTGAATCCAGTTTTCATTTTTTTTTGCAAAAAAAACACCTAGGCAAGATTCCCGGGACCATTTGGCATAGGTTATTCATAAGTGCACTTTATTTTTAAAAAAATCGATACACTCTAATATACAATTCAATTGATTGTCGTTCCTCTTTTCCACGTATTCACACCTGAATGGGCAACCGAGAAAATGACTGAAACTACACAAAATCCGGGTCCAAATTTGACTGTAAATTTGTGCATGGTAATGTTTGAATTTGCATTACAAATTGTCCTCTATAAGGACAGGGTACTTTTTAAAAATGTGTGACGCGATCTGGTTGTCAGGTGAAAGACTTATTGAACCGCCAGATATATACAAAATTTATATTCAAAATTCAAATTTTTCAACTCATTTAGATTGCTTAGACTCGGCAAAAAGCCAACATTTTATATGTTTATACATTTTGTATATATATGTAGCTTTCTTATTTGTCTTACGAGAAGCTTAGCGGCTGTGGTAGGTCAGCAACAAAACATTTCTTCATCTTCATAGTGAAAGAGAAAAGTTTTGCATGTTGTGTTATTCTTGGCACGAAATGTGCTTTATTCGTTAGTTCAACAACTGTACAATGAACTTTGACTTATAAGTGTAAGTTTTGACCCATTTTCTCAAAAATGAAAACGATCGTTGACCAATTTCCAAAAAAATGTTTTCACAATAAATGCAACTTCATAAACTAAAATGACATTTCTAAATAGAGGCTTTTATAGTTAAGAGAAAAGTTGATAAGGTCCAAAATGTTTGCTGAAATCGACAGTTTAAAACTTTTTATCGTTAACACTAAGAATGTTGCATTTAAATCATTTAATAAAAATGAATGTGCACCTAAGCGTATATCCTTATAACCTTATAACTATGATTTATAAATCACTTTTTTCATAACTTACAATTTTCTTTTTCATTTTGAAGTTTATTGTACGCATTTCTTACCTCTGTTTCTTAGTAAAAACCACAGCATATGCCGTTGGGTTATAAATTTCCTCAAATTCTATATGAACTTTGTTTAGTATTCTTTGGTAAAAGCAAAATGCACTTTATTTTATCAAACATAATGCATTTATTGATAATTTTTCGATAGACTATAGTGTTATATCTATTGAAAATATCGAGAGGAGAGTATGTTTTTATTCAGACATTACTCAGCTATAAGCGCTGAATAACATACTCTCTTCTCGAAATATTCAATAGATATAAGACTCATACATGAAAAATAATTTTTATTTTCTGCATAAAACTACCATGAAGTATACAATTATTGATGATCTGTCCAAAATGTCTCTTATAGTTCATTAAATAGCGATTTAGGTTTTTAATATTATTATTTCATCATTTGATTATAATAAGGATATAAAAATTCTTTTATTCAAGGAGAAATTGGTGATCTATAAAAAAGCGAGTAAAATTGCTTTTATTATTGTAAATATGTGCTACTTATTATTAATTAGAAATGTTTCTGTAATAAATAAAATACGTGAAATTAGATGAGCTTGCTCATACCAACGTACCGATATTTTGCAATAAACCATCTTCGCCGAGCAAACTGAGTCCAGGATTACCAGTATCTGGATCTTTGTAAAAACCATTTATCAATTTCTTTGTCCCGACTTTTTCACAGCTTGGCATCGATGGATTTATATTCATGTTGTTGAGATTAATGCTATTGTTATCAGTTAAATTACTAATGGTGTGGTTCGAGTAGTTGGTGTTATTGGTGATGGTAGTTGGGCTTTTGTTTTTGTTATTGTTTATATTTCTTTGGTCAGTTGATTGCATAAAATTGCCATTAAATGTATCCTTTTGAAAGAATAACGGAGCCTGGCTGAGTATTACGTGATCGGGCAGATGAAACGATTGATTGGCAATGTATATAGCAGTATTATTCGATGGAATAGACGTGGTATTTGTTGTTCGTTCAATATTTGGTGACGGTATTTGGTTGCACATGTTACGGTGATGAGTTTTTGGTATGGTGCCGGAGTTGATTGGTGTATTTTTTTTAAAAACAGATGAAATAAGTTTTGGTAATGTTCCAGTTTTCATGGAGTTATTTGAGTTACTTGATAATATTGCTATCGGCATTTGATTTGTTTCATTTGTCTGATGTGTAGATGGTACATGTGATTGTTGTTGTATTTGGTGTGGATTTTTATGATGATGTTGAAATTGTTCTATTTGATTCTGTTGGATGTCATGCGATTCTTCAGTGTTGGTGCTATGAATTTGTATATGATGGCTCGGAACTTGAATTAGATTCTGATTTGTATGAATATCAATCTCAAGCGCTTCCAGCTCACAGCTTAACTCCTTAACAATTTTTGACTTGGTCATTAACATTTGATCGGATGCATTCAATTCTTGTTCCGTTTTCACAAGCTCTGAATTACTTGTCTCAATATTTGTGTTAATTTGTTCGAGTGCTCTCCGCATTTCAGTTTCCGTAAGATTTGGATCGTCAAATTCATATTTACGGATTTTTGCATTTAAACGCACTAATAGCTCTTCTTCGCGTTGAATGTGCTTATTGATTGCAATAACTTTTTCGAGTAGTTCAATTTGTCCAGCTAAATGTTCATTTAGCGGTTTACGTGCATTTTCATTGGCGTTATCTTTATTTATCTTTTCCATTTTTTCGCAAAATTCCTTACGACTCTTGTGCTCGTCTATTAGTTTTTCCTCGCGACTTGTTGATTGATTTTTCTCTTTTTTACCTTTCTTCGTTGTTAGACGCTTACAAATGTCCTTCAATGATTTCGTATCCATTAGTTTGGCTGTGATGCAAGTTCTTTTACCATCATTGTTGTTATCGGCACTGCTTGTGCTGCTTCCATTCGTTAATTGAGATGAAAGACATACTTCAGGTGATGTTGCTATATCTTCTGTATTAACACCGCTATCGCTATTTCCAGGTGTCGTTATTACTTTATCAATTTCATCGATGCCGTTGGCATTGTTATTATTTGCACTCTGCTCACCACCATCTTCTGTATTTTCTCCACTATCTGCGTACACCTCCAATAAACCATTCAAATATGTTTCGAGCAAATAATTTTTGCCCATTCTATTTTCAACATGACGACGGTGCGTACGATGCTCATTTTCGAATGAGGCAATTTCGTTCTCTCGATCTCTGTTCGGATTTTCATCCAAATATTAAATGAATAAAAAAATAAAAGAGAAGAAAAAGAAAGATAAGAATTAGATATAGTTGCTTGAGTTGATGATTGTGACGTGAAATAAGTTATTTGAGCAAAATGAGCAATCGCCTCGTCCTATTCGTTAAAACTAAAATGAATAATGCAATCGTGTTCATTGGGCAATTTCTCCCCTTTCATTTGAAATTCGCATGTCAATTTTAATTTTTAAAATGGATGATGAAAAGAACTAATGAACTGTATGGAATACTTTTACCGTTTAATAGAAATAAACCAAACATGCGAAACAATTTATTGATGCATAGATGGATATTCAGTGGGCTTACCTCAATTTAGATAATTGCTGTTGAATAGTTTCACCTTGTTCCAGTATTAATTTCATTAATTGCTCGATTGATGCTCGTGATGATTTTGGATGGATGGTTTTGACATTCTTTGACCAGGTTTTTGCCGACCGATGTCGTCGGCGACGAACAATCGCACTGCCCGCTCTTGGCACTGGACTCTCTCTTCCGCTATCATATTCACCGTGATGAGACCGACTTCGAACATAATCAATCCGACGCAATGAAAATTGCACCTAATAAAATTGGAAATTGAAAACAAAGAATTCTATTTTATAAGATCTGTACTCAAGTTCTTTAATCTATGATTAAAATCTATCCTTTTTTTCCGCAATACTAAACACAATGCTTTCTTCTTCCTTTCGGAATAGAAATTGAAAAGTCTTCGAGTCTTAATGGGGTTTTATGTAAGTATTTTATGCTTTAAGTGATTAAATTTACAACTTTTATTGGCAATAAGGTTGCATAACGAAACCGTAAAATGTGTTTTATTTTTCATTCATTTTGTTGAAAATGCCAAATGAAATAACATTTTGATTTACGTAATGTTTTACATTTAAAAAGTGACTCAAAAAATACATTTCATAGTCAAGAAAAGAAATGTAAGAAAATCATGAGAACTAAGCTCTCGATACATGTTTTTGATGCCTGAATTAAATAACTTAGTTTTGATCCGGTTTGTCAAACGTTTTGCCATTCAACTTTTAACAAAGTATTTCATTCTTGTGAATTGATTCTTTTTCTAGTTCTTTTCCCTATTGTGAATTTATGGGGCACAAATTTAATTTTTTTATATCAAACTGACCACAAAATAATACGGCAGAGCGAAACCAATTTGAACACAAAAAAATCCAATAATGGACTTTTATAAATGTTATTCTTATGAGTAACAATAAACTTAATCAAGGTAGAAATTAAGGGTGGTGGTGAGGGGTTTGATTGAAAAAAAAAAAAAAAAAAATCGAAAGGCGTAAACCAAAATACAAATTTTTTTCTAGTGTAAAATAAGGGGTTTTTGTTTCCGCTCGGAAAAAAATTTATTAGGAGGTGGAGAATAGACTGGCCCCCAAAACACAAAAGTTGAAATTTTTTTGCTCTTACCTCGGAATACTTTTCCATATGGTGTGCAAATAACG